TCAGCTTAACTAGAAATGTGTAGGAATGTTTAAAAACAGCAAATCTCTGCGTTCAGTTATATTTGCATAATATAAAAAGATCCAAGTTTACTTCTAAAAGAAAAGCAGGTAAAATATTTATGACCTAAAACAACACAAACTAGATAGATAGATAGATAGATAGATAGATAGATAGATAGATAGATAGATAGATAGATAGATGATAGATAGATAGATAGATAGATAGATTTGATTAAAGATATTTTTCAGCATTTATCTGTTTCTTGTGTCACAGTAACATTTTAGATAAAATATTTTGTTGTCCTGTCAATTTTGCAAACCAGAAAATGAACTGTTGTCTGATTGTTAAGAAAAAACAAATGTATTAACTAAAGTATGATAAAGTTTAATTAATAAATCTGTCACTTGATTTTTTTTTACTTTGATTATAGATCAGGTTACATGATATTAGATTTATTGATCCAGCATGTTTCTGCTGCTCATTATATGAATTTATTTGGGTCTATTTTTGGTTTTTCTCATTGCCAGAGTTCAGCCTGGTGCCGGGCGGTCCAGCAGTGACCCACTGGGTTTTGGATCAAATGTTAAAGGTTACATAAATGACCTGTAATCACAGAGTCACGTTCTTCGCTCTCTGTTGTTCATCTTTCCTTCTCGTCCTCAGATTTTGATGCAGATGGAGCGACTTTCCAACTCCTCCATCCGTCCTCGGCGTGACCTCTGCAACGATGCTGAGAAAGTCTCATTCATCATCAGCCTTTTAGTTGTTTACGTGCTCCTGTTGCCTCTCTTCCTCTACGTCGTTGCCGGTGGTTACCAGCGATGGAGGAAAGACGGTTTCATGGCTCCGTTCACCACATGGAGCCACATCGACATCTTCACCTACAACGTGGTTTTCCTCGACCTGCTCAATACGTTGGGGAGCTTCTTGTACTTTTTTGGTGCCGTCACTAAAAACACAGGCGTACGGATGGGAGGAAGCTGCATGTTTGGGATGTTCATATCAGGTCAGACTCTGTTCCACCTGCTCACCTGTATGGAGCGCTACCTGGCCGTCGTCCATCCCGTCTTCTACCTGCGCTTTAAAGGCTCAGCAGGCGTCAGGGTCAGAAACATCACGGTTGGATGTGTTTGGCTGGTTTCCATCGTGATAGTGGTTCTGATTATACAGCGCGTTATTTCCTTCGCTACCATGAACAGTTTGCTTCTGTCCTTCACGTCTGTAGCTTTTGTTTTCTGCAGCCTCTCGGTTCTCTGCGCTCTGATTGGTCCAGGGCCTGGTGGGACCAGAGACCGGGTCGACCAATCAAAGAAGAGAGCTCTGAACACCATCATGATCATCACAGGGACTCTGCTCCTCAGGTTCATGAGCAGCCTCATCATCTCTGTCATCCAAAACGTTGCTAAGCAGTTTGGAAACGTTCCCTGTCTGATTGGTTGGTCGCCCAGGTGGTTCTTCCTGCCCAGCAGTCTGGTCTTACCGCTGCTGTTTCTGCAGAGGGCAGGAAAACTGGACGTCTGTGGGGCAAACGTCAAATGAAACGGCATTTATAGTGTGACGGTTAAATTTAAGCAAAAAACCCATTAAACTTAGACTGCGCAGGAGGCTGCAAACATTATTATTACAGATATTAATAAATGAAAGGTTTATACCTGAAAGGGGCAATAAAAAGGATTAAACTTCAGAAAATATCTCTCATTTATCCCATTAACAGATCATAGATGTGATCTGATGTTTATGTTTTGTAAAGAGCTTCTAGCTCCACTTCACACCAGGTGATGAACTGACTATTAATATCTGCTGGATTTAGATGTTTTAATTGTTTATTTATAAACATTTTAGTGTATTTTAATCTGCATCACTCTCATACAGCCTGACTGCATCTGTACAATATTAATAAAGACATTAATTTAATTCAAATAGTGACATTTCTTTCTCTTCTCCTGTTCGATGCGCTGACCTCCAGAACCACGATTCTTTATTTTAATTATTCAAAATAAATACAACTTTACTTTCTGTAAATAAACCCTCTAAACTTTTTTTTCTGCTTGTGGGTCTGGAAATTATAACCAACTTATGACGGTATTTGTTTTTGAAGACGTTTTCTTTGGTTTCTGATTATAAATGTTTTTTTTCTCTGTGTTTTGCTGGACACTTCATGCAGCTTTTATTAATCATTCTGAATAAATATGTCTCTTTAAATTGGATCACCTCATTAACATATTTGATCAGATTATTTATTGCAACCCTTTTTTACTTTTTACAGAAAGTGTTTAATTTAAATCATCATACATTTACCACCTATGTCCAGTTTTCATTTTATTACAAGGTGGCGATTTAAAAAAAATCCCTGAAATTCAAAACACTAAAACCAGATTATGCTGTAATTTTGCATATGCTTTGTATTTTGTTGATTATGGTTTCTGGTTGTAAGATTGAATAACTAGATGTGATTGAGGGCCCTGCTGTAGAAAGTTTGCCTTCTCGTTGTGAGGGAGACATAAATCATGATCCTGAGTGAAACATGCAAAAACCTTCTTCTGTCATCGAGACACTCGTACATAAACAGGTAATCCATGCAGGCTGGACAGAAACTGAGACTGAAACTCTGAGAAGACGACGAGAACCAAATCCGTCTGACCAGGTGCGTTTTTAACCAATCTGAAGCTTATCCAGTTAAATTTGATTTAAATGTTTTAGCTTCTTGTTGTGACAAAGTAATCCTTTAAATGTATTTCTGTAGTAATTTCTTAATATTGCCTAATAATATCTTCTGTATGAACTGTATGATCTCTTAGGGCTCGTCACTGTGTTTAA